CAAACTCAGTAGAACTTACTTGCAGTTCAAACTGAACAAGACCCTGTTTTCTCTCTCCCTTTGCTCTGCCTCCTTTGCACCTTGATCCTAAAAGTTCCATTAAATATTTGGGACGTTATAACTACACAAAAGAGTTAAGAAGGTGTGGAGAACCTGTGAAGACACAATCCCCTGAGCAGACACACAATAATACTGCTATTCCCCCCTCCACACACACACACACTCTCAAAGGCTAAGCGTGGAGATGTATGGGGACTCACATGGGCTAGCATGGGACGCGTTTAATGTAACTATTGTGAGCCTAGTCTGTTTTGATCTTGTTCCCTTTTAACCTTTGGGAACGAGGCACTATTCAGTCCTGAGCTTTGGCGGAGCCTTTTCCAATGGGGCTGGAATGAGCCTGATTTAGTGAAGAGGGAGAACCCAACTAGCCATGAATGAAACTTCAACTTTTAAGGGCCTACAGAGAAGGGGAAGGGGGAAGGGGAGCCCAAAAGAAAGCAGGGCTTCTTCACAAGTGATCGCTTAAAGAAAAATCCGATCTGGCACAAAGAGGCAGCTGGGCTGTTTTTAATGAAATCTGCCTTCAAGCAGCAAGAACAGCAGCCTCAGGGATGCATTGATAAGATGACTGAAAAAGCAACACTTTCAAGTCGGGGGCTCTCCTCCAGGTGGCTCTAACAAATACACGATTGAACCAAGAAGCCTAAACAGAATGGGCAGAAATGGAGAACTTGGATTGCGCACCCTCACACGCCTCCCGCAGGAATTAAATAAAATCCAGCCCTTTAGGGGAGTCCTCTTTCCTCCCTGGTTTCAGGCAAAATGCTGAAATACACTCAGTGGATATTGTTTTCATCCACGGATTCAAACATCCACGGTTTTATTTTATTTTTAAATGTATGAATTCCAAAAAGCAAAGCTTGATTTTGCCATTTTGTATAAGGGATACCATTGTACTAGTGTTTACTGGGACTTGAGTATCCACGGATTTTGGTATCCAGGGCCCAAACCCCAGGGGTTGCAAAGGGCTCAGTGCAAATTCCTCCTCCCCACTCCCCCACCCAGCCACGATATCTTGGATAACTCCTACAAGACAGAAAAGTAGTCCCACCCAGTTCCTGCAAAATAAAGTTTGAAGGGAAATCCTCTAATTTTTCCCCAGCTAGTCTTCCTCTGACAACTCCTAAGCCGACTGCCAAATTTTATCCCCCTCGCTGTTCAAACAAGGCAGGATAGACTGCTCTAAGTTCAGTACTTGAAATTAAAATGATGTGAATTCCAGGATATTAATCTCTTTTCTCAACTCCCCCCCCCCC